GAAGTTGGGAGGGGGGGGGGAGGGAAGGGGGGAGGGCACTGTCAAACTGTGTCAACACCTGAAGTAGGTCAAATTGCCCGGACGCTGCCTTTGAACCCGCATAACTCCTTCAGCAGATGTACACAGACGACTTCGAGGTAAGACTGAAGAAATGTGTTGAAAAGCTCCATGTACTATACAGTGTTTGCCAAATCGCCATTGCGATTTGTTATCCTTGGTTAATATGGTTTGGACCTACCAGAGCCAAGCGGCACGATTTTTCCCTCGGGATCCACAAGTATGCGTCTACTCCGTTCCAGAGCATCCGCCACTTGTGGTGGCAACTTTGCAAATGAGCACTTGAGCCTGAAAGATAACTGCGCTTGTGATGTGCAACTGGTGATGATAAACCTCTCATATACCCAAAGTTGGAAATTACTGGAACAGTGGATTGGCACTGGTTAGGATCTTGTGCTTCCACTATTGCATGTGCCAATTCGTAGGATTCGTCCACATGGATTCCATTGTGGGTACTAGATGCACATGACTCGACAGGAAGTACCTGAATCATCTTAAATGAAGCTGGATGTCTGTGAGTTTCCGTGTCTGTCTGGTGCCTTACGACTCGTTAGAGGCCTATGGGTTGGGCCAGAGTGCCCGGCGAACTGGCGTATGCGGCGTACGCTGCGTACGCTCACGTGTTAAAGATATGGAGCGTACGCGGCGTACTTCGCGTACGCTGCGCAGCCTGGCTCAACCTTATGGGATTCCATTACGCGCCGCTCACAAACCAGTGATTTGAGAGAGCATTTTCGCCCTTGCCACAAACCTTTTACGAAAATCTCATAGTTATAAAGTAATAAGGGTGTTTTATGCCTGAAAACAGTTCGAAAGGGGTACAATAATTTCATTTGGGGAAATAATTTTTATTGATCTTCGCTCCTCTCCCGCCTCCAAAAAGCCCCCAAAAAATTTGTGAGACGTCATTACCGCGAACACTGTCCAAGAGTTACGAAAATAGCAAACCTTCCCTATGACTTTGGTGAATCCTGATACTCTTTCGTCGACAACCAAATGCAAAGCGAAAACCAGTCAAATTTCGAAATGGATCACAGCCATTAACAAACATTGACATGTTAATGCCGTGTCACAGCCATCAACATCTACATTGACATGAGACAAGAAAGAAGTGGATTGGTCCAAAATAACGAGAATTAAGCGGGGTGTTCCCTGTACAAGACTTTTGATAGGACGAGCAGGAAGTCCTGCACCAAAACTTGCTAGATAAGAACAAGACGGTCAACCATACCCTGCACAACTCAACTGCATCGTGTAAATAGAGCCATACTCCGAAAAAGACCCAAACCACAGGTCCAGCCGGTTTTTTTTGCACGATAAATTATGGTTCCGTACGGCAAACGCCGTCAAAACTGTCCTGCAAGATTTGAGATACATTAGCATCTAATTTACTGCTGAACTCTCGCTCTACAAGATTACCACTT